GAAATTTAAAACAATAGAATATATTTTTCTTATTTGTTCCTGTTTACTGAACACATATGGTGTACAAAGCATAATTAAATACAGTCATGAACCACTTAATGATGGAAATAGGTTCTAAGAAATGTATCATTAGGCAATTTTATCATTGTACAAACATCATGACGTGCACTTACAAAAACCTAGATGGCATAACCTACTATAGGGGTCCCCAACCCCTGGGCTGTGGACTGGTACCAGTCCATGGCCCATTAGGAACTGGACCACACAGCAGGCGGTGAGTGGTAGGCAAGTGAGTGAAGCTTCATCTGTATTTGCGGTTGCTCCCCAGCACTAGCATCATCACCTCAGCTCCACCTCAGATCAACAGGCATTGGATTCTCATAGGAGCACCTGTCCCTGGTGCCAAAAATGTTGGGGACTGCTGACCTACTAGGCAACTAGGCTATATGGTATATCCTATTGCTCCTAGCCTACAAGCCTGTATAGCATGTTACTGTACTGAATGTTATAGGCATTGTAACACAATGGTATTTCTGTATCTAAACATATGTAAACATAGAAAAGGTAGAGTGAAAATATGATATAAAGATAAAAAATGGTATACCTGATAGGACGACTATTATGAATGGAACTTGCAGAACTGGAAGTTGCTCTGGGCAACTGTGAGTAAGTGGTGAGTGAATGTGAAGGCCTAGGATATTACCGTAGACTTTATAAACACAGTATACTTACGCTATACTAAATTTCTAAAACATGAAATTAAATCAAGCACAAGAGAAACTGATGCAATCAATAGATGCGGTAAACGAAAGATGTATGAGGCTGTTGCCAACATAGCAGACATACTATTTTACAACATTTTTTAATAAGTAGAAAGCATACACTCTAAAATAATGATAAAAAGGATAGTATAGAAAAATGCAAAAACTGTAACAGTTGTTTCTTATTATCAAGCATTACGTACTATACGTAATGCTACGTGCTATAATTATATATGGCCGGAAGTACAGTAGGTTTGTTTACACTAGCGTCGCCACAAACATGTGAGTAACGTGTTACATTCTGACTTTACAATGACTGTGACATGACTAGGTGATAGGAATGTTTCAGCTCCATTACAATCTTATAAACCACTGTTGTATGTGGGGTCCATCCTTGATTGAAATGTCGCTCTGTGGCACATGACTGTAGACTGGTTACCTCACTTGTCCTTTGAAAGAAATTTAAATTATTGCATGAATTTTGATTAAACTGATTACAAAATTTTGAAGCACAATGGAACTCAAACTAGGGCCAATGCTCATTTCCTAAATGAACATTTTATGTGCAAACAAACAGCTGCTAGAATTCAACAGAGTTTAAAACAAGCTGTTTGTAAATTTTACTGACAGCTGTTTTTGGTGATTTTTGTCAACAGAATTTTCCTGCATTCTTTTATTACCGTGTCCCCTCAAAGAAGAACTTGCTTGCTTTAATCACGTTTCCAGAGATTTATGACTTAATGCTTATTCAGTGGTAGTTTCTCAACACAAAATGTCAGTGAACCTGTTATAAATTGCTTCTGGCATTCTTACTCTATCTTTTATTTGGCTGGGAGTATTTCCACCTGAAAGTGATAAATTCCAGCTATAACCACTTTATGTGCTTCAGTAATTACACTGTACAGAAAAAAAAGGGGGTTTCTACTGAGGTGTCTCCTTAAAAATAGCAAGCAATAAAAGGCAGTGGAATGGGCTGAACTTTGAAGTCTAGTGAACAAAACAATGACCAGTGAAATATCCGTGTCAGACTGAATTTGATAAATGATCAGGAAATACAGAAGATACCAAAACTTTTAAAGCCATTGCTGTAGGGACATGTTAATGTAACTATATCCATGACTGGTTACTTTTAATCCTGCGACAGAAATTTGTCAGGTGGCCATAAGAATGGAATTAACATCTTTTCAAAAATTATCTCAAAATATCTAGATGCTTCTAAAACTTGGGTAATTTTTCAGTAAAGGTCAAGGTCTACGCGACTTTGAGACTGTCTACATGTGTAAGCCAAAGAGAGTTCAGCCTGTCAAAACAGTTCAGTATAGTCCATTGCAGCCAATAACTTGCTCAATACATATATGTACAATTGTACTGATCAAGAAGGGGTCCACATTAATCACTATGGCATCCATGGGTGGTGGGTACTGATTAGTTTTAGGCCTACTGTTTTATTCCATATAAGTTGTTTAAGTACACAGGATAAAATTACTGTTTTTAGTTGCTGAAGTTTTTTGCTCTTAAAGGAGGAATAAAATATTGTAGATAAAAATTCTCCAAGTTAATTGAACAAAAAACTATAAAGACTTGCATTATCAGGTCCTTATATCATGCTAAGGATGGTATTAGGAATCCAATGGATATTTTATTTGAGATGATACTAAAACAGATTATGACTGTTAATCAGAAGTCAAGCTTCTTTTCAGAGTTACTGCATCATATTTGCAAAGGAATTGCTACAGCAAGTATCTCTGCTCCAATAGTCAGAGAATGAGTGGCTCCTTCTTGTTCAGAAATTGTGATCTTCCATAAAACAATTTTAAAGCAAATATAACTGGCTTAGTGCAACTCGACAGAGCTAAAACCAGTACTAAAAAGGAAAAAAAATTGATTAAGCATTGTGAGTTAAGCTTTAATATATGTTTTACACTTCAGTATGATCCATTGTAAAGAGATTTTATTGGTTGTGTTGTACTACTGGTTTAGAACAGTTTCATCATGTGTAATTCCTTTCACAACAACCCTACGATTATGAGGTTATTAATTAATCCTAAATTTACAAAAGATGAAACTGAGTTCCAAGGTAGGTTAAACATGTTTCTATGGATGAAATCCTAGGAAATGGCAGGGCTTGGTTTTCAACCCAGTTCTGCTTGACTCCAGAGCTCTATGTACTTAATCATTATGCCACAATGGATTCCAGAAAAAAATAGCACAGAGCTTGACTTTAACTTAGGTTAATGGCATTTTCACATAGAATGACTAGCTCAGTCACATGTAGAGTGCAGACACTACACTTCTAGATGCTGTGGAGGTTTGTTCTACTACATCAATTGCCACATTTGATTGCTCTTTATCAATTATTTTCAAGATACATTTTTTGGGGGAAGGGAATTCTAGGTTTCTTATAAGAGATCCTTGCAGAGTTTACATCTGACAAAGACAATGTATTCAAAAGAATCCAAGAGGTCAATCCCACTCTATTATATTATAATTAAAAGCCAGAGAAAAATTCGTGTACATGTTGAATTTGTGAGAGAGTTCTACATTCATGGTAGGAGAGTCTGGGTATTATATCTGTCCCATTTGCTTGTTATATATGCTTATCCAACTGAATATGAGATTTACTACTTTGTAAAACACTTCACGACAGAAGAAGAAAATTTAGACTGTTTTCAGTAAACCATTACATTGAGCCTGAAGATTAGTAAAGAGATCCAGGTCAGAGATGCCTTTGTAGTATTGTAATAAAAACAGCGAGGTAGAGGGCATGGAGAGAAGGATGTGTAAACAGGCTCAAGCAAACCAATTTGTAAGCCTCAGAATCCCTCCAGGACCATAGTGTTACACTGGAGTAGGATGAATAATTTTGAAATTCTAAGTAAGGTACTGGGGGAATACTGCCTTAATTGGAAGAGGAGGAGACTAGACTAGGCATGAAATAGAACAACAAAACTAAACTTTGATTAACTCAGAAGATCCTTACAAAGAAACGAAAAGTGAAATAAAATACCATCAAGCCCTTTTTAAAATAGAAAGAGGACATTGTTAATACTCCAAGCTATGGCTTTACTGAGACCCTGTAGATGGACTGGATTTCCCTGGGGGAAGTTTTTCCCTGGGGCCAGAGTTCCAGGATTTAACGCTGGTGATAGGTTGCCCATCTTTTACCTGCACACATGTATGTACATGGTAAGAAGAAATGGCTCTTTAAATTCAGGATCCAGGGCTGAGAGGAAGAGTTGGTTCAAAAACATATATCCTATCTCCATTAAAACCAAGCATCAGCCCTTAAATCACACAATTGTTTAGTGGAGGAAGTGGGATTGTAAGTGGGTGTTATATATCTGGTTCCTGAAATCCCTAATTTACTCCTTAACACATAATAGCATCTCTCCAAGTTTAATATTTTAAGTTTGCTAGAGTTTGATTCCTCTGAGGCCCTGCAAAATGTAAGCAATGGCTCAACAAGGTTAATAATCAAGTATTAATTTAATTAATACTTGGCTATCTCTGAGTTAAAAAATATATATATTTGGTTAGCTTAGTGTGCTATCATTGTTCAGTCAAAGCGCTGTAAGATATTATGTAATTTGAATAATTCTGCTTCTATTTATAAAACATCTAAAAATGTTTTAGATGGCTACAGTGTAGTCTAAAGATCGGAGAGGACTTGGGTGGACACAGGGATGCCAGCTGGAACGCTATGGGAACAAGCCAGGTGAGGATGAGACAACTGGGCCTGTTGTGAAGATGGAAAAACGTAGGCAGATTTGAGATTATGGGGGAAAATACATGGATTTAACAATGGATTGATGTGGAGAGTGGAGGGGAGCTCAATAGATGTTATCTGTAAAATATGGTGGTCAGTGAAAGAGCCTAATGAGGAGGGTAGACACATTCTTAAAGACAAAAAGCTAGGGTAGAGAGGAGAAAAATGTTACTTTCTTAGAAATAAAAGAGTACCACTTTTGGTGTCATGAGCGAAGCGTTTCCAAGTTCGACAGTAATCAAGACAGCACTCCTTACAGATAACGCTCAACTAAACGTTCCTCGGTTTGTGATTTTTCATCGGTTAAGTTCGGCTGAGGGTCCCAGGAAAGCGAGGACTTTTCATTCTTGCCTTTATTCCTACAAGAGGGGACGTTCCCTGGACCCGCCCCCTTCCCGCCAAACTCAGGCGTACTACCGCAGCCCCGCCCCTCCCTGAGGCCCCGCCCACCAGCCCTTAGGCGTGCGCTCGCGGCCCCACCCCTCCCGGTCCCGCGCGCCGGGACTTCTGGCGCGTTTCATTGGTCCCGTCCCTCAGGCGTCCTGCGGGCTGAGAGGCGGGAATCGCTGGGACCCGACTTTGGGGGTCCTGTCGCAGGCCTGCGGCGTCTCGGTCGTTTTCCGAGTTCGCCCTGTCGCCCGTTCTCCGAGGAGCCTTTCCCGCGAAGGCGGGGCGATGCTGGGGAACCGCCGGCCGAGGGTCCGCTCGGGGAACCAGCCGCACCCGCCATGGAGCCGGCGAGTGGCGGGGCCTGGGCCCACAGCCGCGCCGCGCTTGACCGGCTGGAGAAGCTGCTGCGCTGCTCGCGTTGGTAAAGATGGACCTTCGGGGGGTTTGCCGCGAGGGCGGCAGCGGAGGCAGGGGTTCCCTCGCTCCCGTGGGGCGGGAGATCTTTTCAAACCTCCAGTCTCTTTCTGTTGCGGTCCTGCAATCGGGCGGGCAGCAGAGTCAGTACCTGCCTAGGGATCTGGTGTGAATTATCCCCCCGGGTGGCTTTCTAGCCTTTTCTGGCACCAAACCCAACAGAGATGGTAGTTCTCGAACTTTAACGCGCTTGAGAATCGTCTGAAGGTGTGGTTAAAAATTCGGATCCCCGGCCCCGCCTCCAGAGTTTGAATCTGTAGCGCCGGGGCGGAGCTAAGAGACTGCACTTTTCACAGGATCCCGGATTCTTGTGACAATTCCAGAATCTTAAACTGTGGGATGCTAAGTTTGAAGTAGCTCTTACCTTTGCTTAGCTGGCCTCTTTGACCTTTTCTCCGTGGCAGCTTTTTTTTGCGGGGGGAAAGAGAGTTTTGGGGACCCTAACTGGAGGTAGATTGAAGACAGCCATTCAGTTTCTCATTTCCTTGGATTGGTCAAAAGATTGTATGGCTTGGGGTTCCAGCTCTTAGAAATGCACTTATTATCAGTTTTCGCTTCTTATTTTCCCTATGCTGTAACACCATGTGAGTTCTAAGGTTTTCATTCCATCTGAAAACATTATTTTCATGACTGTACTTTTTACTTCTCCTTTTCCAGTAGCTCTTCCTAGTGTAGAAACCCAGAAGGTTTATAAAATCCAACAAGGGCTTGTCTCACTTTTCATTTCTTCCAAAAGCATTTATTGACACTTGCTCTGTGCACAACTCAGGATTTCTGCATCATTATCACTCTGGCAGGTTTTCTCTCTGCTTGTAGCTGTCCCGACCATATTTCTTTTTTAGATTTCATTTTGCTTTTTTCCCTCTTAATTTCCAACTTGCAGAACTGAGTTATACATAAAGTATAAGTAACAAAGCAGCTTTTTCTCTAGAAGTAAAAAAGGACTTAACTATCAGAGTTTTGCACTTACATTTCATTTTACAAAAACTTTAAAACCTTTGACAAAATAACATCGTTGCACTCCTTAGAAAAGTGGAACTTTCGCTAGGATGAGTACATGAAGACATTCAGAGTTGTGTGTTTCTCATAGGACAGAGATCATCCATATGAGAATAAGAAATTTAAAACTAACTCTGCTCGTTGTTATGTAGGAGCAATCGTCATGCCTGAATAGTCCATTCAACCAAAGTTAGACATTTAGATGAGACATTTCTGTATGGAAGGGCAGCCGTATTGTGCTTCACTTAGACTGTACAGTCAAGCTGCCTAATTTCAGGTTCCAGCTTTGACATTATTGAATGGCCCAAGTCATTCAACCTCTCTGTGCCTCACTTTTCCTATCTGAGTTATGATAGTGCTCATAAATTAAAAATATATATATATTGAGCACTTGCAAAGTGCCAGACAATGTTCCAGGCATTTGGAATTTCTTAGTGAACAAAGTGAGGAAAAAACAAGAAACAAAAAAAAATTCCAACCCTTATGAATGTAAAATTCAATGGGAGGGAAGAAACTAATTGAAATTATATATGTAAAGTGTTAAATGTGGTGGTTGTCATAGAATAAAAGTATTAGGTGTCTTATAAAAATACAAGACGGCATAGTCTGCTGAATGGTTTGGGGGAGACAATTTATAGGTGACATATGAATAATCTATAGGTTGAATAAAAAGTTTCACTTTTTATTCCCTATCAAGTATGTTTCTGAAGTGATCAGACAATAAGAGCCACAGGACTGAAAGTAGACATCAATAGCTAGGTCCTGACTTCTAATACAATTTGGCTGGAGAGCGATGTTGAACTGCAGCGATTTTTTAAAAAATAAATATATGAACTACTGACAGATTAACTAAATCAACTGTTTCTTTGAATGCATATTTTAACATAAGGCTCTGCAAACTTTTTCTGTAGAAGGTCTTATAGTAAATATTTTAGGCTTTGCTGGCTACAGTCTCTGTTCTTAATATTTTTGTTTTACAACTCTTAAAAATGTAAAAAAACATTTTTTTAGCTCAAGGGCTGTACAAAAACAGCCTACTGGCTTGGTTTGAAACTTAGGCAATAGTTAGCTAAACTCTGTTTTAATAGGTAAATGTCTTAAGTTTAAAAATCCTTTTTGGTATAAAATTTTTATCACATGAGATTTGATATTTAGAAATGATTTTGTGTTCCTCTCTTGTTACCTCTGCACGTTTGGCACTATCTGTAGTGAATAAAGCATAGCCAGTTGCTCCTTACCCATAGGGGGATAAAGCAACATTCTTTTCACCTCTGCCTTTGCCTAGCAACTGTCTGACATCATTGTGGAAAGGAGCAACTCAGCATGTCCTGCTTCTTGCTTTTGCTACCCACCATTCAGAGCAATGTCATAGTATTAGGAATTATGTGTCAGTATGTCCTTTTACAGAGTTTCAGAGTTCTACCCAGTGGACTAGTGATTACCTGGATTACTCTCACGTTCAGTTTGCAGCTGTCATCTATCCCATGTTCCCCAGCTGTCACCTGTCTTGTGTAGCACGTTGAGTCTGTCTTGCAGCATTCATTACTTGCTGGTGAGGGTGGATTGGTACATTATAGGGCATCTTTTTTTGACCTTTAACATTAGTATGGCTCCTAGGTGAAGCTGCTAAAATTGTTCAAGAGGCCAGACGTGACATTTGTGTTAGGTCCAAGCCTTACAACCAGATAGAAGCTATTTAAAAATTTGGGAAAATGAGACAGGAAGACTATCATTTGAGAGGTTATCAGAAAGCATAGTAATAATGTGTTCCAAAAGGAAGCAGGAAATGATAATAGGAGTTGCAGTGTAAAAGCCTAAGTGTCGTGATATTGTTTGGTGAATTAAAATAATTGAGTACCTTGACATTTTTTTTGGGGGGGGGTGGCATCTATGACAATTGTAACTTGGAGTTCTTAGCACCTTTTAAATCAGCTTTTAGTAAAATGTCAAAAAGTAAGCTTGTGATTTTTAGGATAGATGATTTTATTTTTCTGAATTATCTCTTGTCATTTGATAGGCAATCAGGTTTTGAGGCAGAGTGAGTATAGCTTAGTGGTTAAGAGCATGGATTTTGGACCTAAGCTTCAAATCCTGACTTAGGGATTTGGGACAAATTATTTCATTTTCGCATGCTCCTTTTTCTTCATCTGCAAAATGAATTAGTTTCTAGTGTATAAGGTTGTTGTATGTATTACACGAGTTAATATTTATGAGGTAGTTAGAACAGTGCCTGTTAGGTTCTAAGTGCTATATGAGTGTAAAAAAAAAGGATAGATCCTGACTCCAGCATTCAGCTTTTGCCTTTCTTCAGGAGTTTCAAATATTGAGAGGCATTGGTTTAGCCATTGATCCTTAAATGGGATTACTGCCTTTGATTTGCTCTGGCGATGGTTATTCATTCATTATTTAACAAGCAATCGCTGGGGTACTGGTGAGACATTTTCTACCCTTAAGGAGCATATGCTTAATTATAAGGGATAAAATGTACACTCAGTTCAGAGTAAATTATGATGAAGGCCAAAGGGATGCAGAGAAGAGTACTTGGATGGAGCCAGTGGAGGACAGCTTCATGGGCTTTTGAATTTGGCTTTGGATGGATTTTTATAGATGAAGCCAGATAGGGGATTATTAGCAAGTATACTAAAAAGTATTGTAGAATAAAAGTAGAGTCAGTTGGGTGGGCAGAGAATTAAGAAAAGATCAAATCATAGAGTGATTAATAGCCTAACAACAGACCGTGCGGTTGGTTCAGATACAGGCATACCTTGCTTTATTGCACTCCACAGATGTTGCATTTTTTAACAAATTGAAGGCAAGACCCTCTACCAGCAAAAAGATTCTGACTTGTTTTATTGTGATGGTTTACTGTGGTAGTCTGGAACCAAATCTGAAGTATCTCCAAGGTGTGCCTGTAGTTACTTCCTAAAGAGAGCAATTCGTGTAACTTTCCTGAGACTCGGGTGTCCTCATCTATAAAATGAGGAAAATGGACTAATTGATTTTTAAGGCTCCCACTGGTTTGTGGATTCCAAAATTATTAGTGTCACTGGATGCAAAATCCTGATCAAAACTTTTTTTCTGAAGTTTAGTACACAGAAAAGGGCACAAATCACTGGTGTTCAGTATGTATCATATCCCTTCAAATTGTGGGATTTATTTACTTACATGGAATTTCGATTCTTTGATTGATGTCGGTGTTATTTATACTACACATTTCACAAAGACAGGTTCACATTTGTAGCCACAGTACTAGCCATGTTTCTTAGTGTTTGTTAAATTAGCACATGGAAGAATTTATTTAGGTTAAGTTAGGATCCAATTTAAGGGGCCTTTGCAGGTGGAAATACTAGAAGGACCTGGTTAATTCACTTGAGTCACCAAGAGTGTTCCATAGGTTCCTGGGGTTAATATCACATAGCAAACAGTGACTGAGGTCTCAGGGCTTATGTAGAAGGTACAGGTCTTACCCTCTGAGAATTAGAGCTAGAACCAGGACAGGAACAGTCCCATTACAGGCCTACACATACTTGGTGTTATTTATGGCTTGTAACCACTAGAGAAACTTACCAGACATATTGAGCACCCTTTAATACTGTCCCCCATAGCATGGGGAATGGTCTTACAAGTGAAGTTACTGTTCTACAGGTTTGGGGCTCAGAGGAGAGATTTTAGACTGGTAATGGAAATTCGAGCCATCTGCATATAGATGGTAATTGAAAGCATACTTTTGGAAGTGAACAGGGACAAGAGTTTAAGACAAATGTCACTGTTGAGCCTTAAAATCAACTCAGTATGTGAGCATCAGGTGGCAGAGATGAAACCTTAAGGACAGAGGAATATCTGCAGTTACTATTTTGCTTCAGAGGAAAGGGAATAGAAGATAGAATAACAAACTATTTGAATTGAATGTACATGATTTTCTCTGTGGCTTATCTTTCTCATGGTAGA